TGTCGGTCATAGCCATTGAGTATCAAAAGTTGATGACGTGGCCCAACATAATATTAGTATCGAAATTATACAATCCTCTTAGTTTAAAACTCTGAATTACTCATTTATGCTAATATTTTAATCATTATTTGTTTCTTTTATCTTTATTATTAGTTGTTCCAATTTTTTTACTGACAAATGGAGTATTAAAAAATATTTTTATAGAACTCAACAAGTGGTCACGGAGAATATTGGGTAGCCCAAGGGTACCCCGTCAGCTTGTCCCACCTGGTATCCCAATTCAATAAAAATATGACAATTGGCTAACTATCCACATCACCTTCATACTCAAATTGCCACTAACGGAGCGTCGTCAACTTCGTAAAAAAACAGAAAAAAAAGGGTAAAGTGCAAGAAACCCCCCTATATTTTCAGCAAAAAACACAAAACCCCCCTGAACTAAGTAATAATCCCTAAACTATTCAAAATTTGCAATTTAAGGACAAATTCTAAAATCATAGGCACCGGAGCTTATCGGAAATATTAAATTACCAAATTGGCCTTAAATCAACCGACACCGTTTGGAATGTTTATTGTCGTTTGTTAAGTAGTAATCTTAAAAACCAATGATATGGCGACAACCCAACACCTTATCAACAAGCTTCACTTACCCTTCACCGTTTTAGCGCCAAACAACTTCCATACAGACTCCAATCTAAGAAGTTGACTCTGAAACTCAATTTGGAAACCATTGCTCATTCCATACAGAATTACACTACTCACTTTAGCACCAAACACCAACACTTGTACCAGACCCACCTATATATAAGCCACACACGCATATATATATATATATACATATATATATATACATACGGTCGACTTTCCATCTGCACCTTCGATCGAGAATTTTTTTCCTGATTTTTCAAAATTGCCAATTTGTTTCCTCAATTGCCTCCAAAATTTCTCTCTTAGGCAATCTTAACCGCCGCCGGCGCAATATTGCCTCCCCTCGGCAATCTTCATCGCCGCTGGGGCGATATTGCCTCCAATCGGCAATCTTCATCGCTGCCGGGGCGATATTGCCTCCCATCGGCAATCTTCATCGCTGCCGGCGCAATATCGCCTCCCTTCGGCAATCTCCATCACTGCCGGCGCAATATCGCCTCCCTTCTGCAATCTTCATTGCTGTCGGCGCAATATCGCCTCCCCTCACCACCAGTCAACGGAGGGAACTTTTCATAACCCGCCGTCGCAATATATATATATATAGTTGAACAGAAGCCATGGATCTTGTATACTGTTGATTTGTTAGTTCCAATAAAATAATGTTAAGCCATTTCAATGCATACTTGGTTTTGGAAAACAAAGAGAACCCAAATAAAAGGGATTTTACAAACTTAATTGTGGAGAAGGAGTAGTTCAGATTGAGGTTTGTTTGTTTGTTGCGCGAATGGTACAAGTGCGGTGATTGATTTATCAAATAACTTCAGGCACCAGTGGTGAAGAAGATGAACGTGACCGGCGTGACTTGTCTTGTTGTGGTAATTGAAAGATGGAGTACATGTAGTTGGAGTTGGAGGGTCTCTTTCTTCCATTGGAGTTTTGACGCACTCTATCTGATCATTTTTTTTTTTTCTTCAGAAGGTAACTCTATCTGATCATTTTGTGTGTCGCTTCAGTTGGGGTTGCAAGGTGAGACCTCCACAGGGATGGCAATGGCGATTTGTGAATTTGGGGTTTCATTAATTATCCCATAAGTAATAAGGGTAGTACCGGCATTTTGAAATTATAACCTAATTTACATGATAATCAGATGACGGAACAGTGTCATTTGGGTTTTTTTGCAAAAATTAAAATAGTTTAGGGAGTTTTCTTTTAAAATAAAAGTTCAAGGGGGTTTTTTACAAGAGAGAGTAAAGATTAGGGGGGTTTTTTGCACTTTACCCAAAAAAAAATTATGAAGCCTAAATCATTGAACCGACAGTACGTGATTGCACCAAGAGCCGATGATGGAACTTTCAATTCAACCAGAAGATCTCTAACTTCTTCGGCATATAACTCACCGAGCCTGATCCAACCGGATCCGAGAGCGCCGGGCCGACCGGTGTGTGAATAACCGCTGCGATCTTCGCCGGAGCTGAACCGGAGACGAAACCGAGCTGCAGACGGAAATCCTCCACCACGGCGCTCAGTAAACCGATCATAATTTGGCGAAGGCGTTGCCGTACGCGCCACTTTGGCTGAATCCAAAGACGTGTACAGGGATCTCGAGGTAGTAGCGCGCGGAACAGACGACGGAGGTTTGACGCCTTTCCACCGCCGGTTAACCGGCGGAGACTGGCCCGTCGTGAACGTCTTCTAACACCTTAGCTGCTTTTTTCAGCCCGTCGGTGAAACTCGATAAGCCTTGGCCTGCCACAAGTGCGTCGACAATTCGACGCGCCGATAACCGGCCGTTCACCGTCATTCTTTTCAGTGGCAACAACCTCTTGGAGTTTGCCCAGAAATTTGACGACACGATCAATCGCATTCTCTACCGTCACGCTTCGCTCACATCTAATACTATCACCAAATCGACCAGTGCTCGACATGCCATCTTCTCTGGCGCCGGCGGCGCTCTAACCTTCAAAACTATGGCGTATGTCTGGTAACTCCGCCGTACAGATTCAAGGAATTCTCTCATCTGGGTCTCTCTCAATCGCTCCAAAATCTTTAATTATTGTGGGTCTCTCTCAAACTATGGCGGCGCTCGGCGATGGTTGCTGGTTGGTGGGCCGGCTATGGTGAAGATGATTAACGCTAATTTTTTTTTTTAACGAAGTTGACGCCGTCTCCGTTAATGGCATGTTTGGTAAGAAACTGAGGTGGAAAGTTAGCCAGTTGTCATGTTTTTATTGGATTGGGGTACCAAGTGGACAAGCTGACGGGGTACCCTTGGGGTACCCAATATTCTCTCAGTGGTCACAAACCATGTCAGCAGCTGAAGTGGATTAGTTTTCTCCACAATATTATTATAAAAGGAATGTTCCAATTTTTTGTTTTTTTCTTTGCGGAACAGCAAATTGTTTATTAGAAAATGAAACCATATAATTTGCGAAGCTTCACAGCGTAAGATCTTCATTGCATTTTTTTACTTATTATTGTAATCAATAAAAAGAAAAGCAGAGTCCCATTTGTAGCATTTCCAGGCAGTCCTGTCCACGTGTTGAGATCTATAGCCGTTAAATTCCTATCCAACGGTCCTAAATTGAAACGGGTCCAAACAAATTGTGTCACGTTTGACTCCCTTCACCGTCTTCTTTACTCTGTTTCTTACGTCAAACTAATTACTGTATTATAACGGCATATGTTTATGTGATGACGGAATTAACCCTAGGGCTATCTTCTTTTATTTATTTATTTTTAATCCCATTGGTGTCCCCTTATCAACTTAAAGTTTGAAGTTACTTTTTCATTTATAAATCACCAAATTCATATAAACCATATTCTTTATTTCAATTCAAATACTTCTCCCGGGAAAAGAAGAAAAAAAAAAATCATTTTAATCGTTAGTAAAATAACAACATCCCAATAATACAGGTGAAAATGTTAAACATTTACATTGATAATTTGGAGTTTTGAAAAGATGTGAGACTAAATGGTTCCAAAAAAAAATGTGATTCACTAAAAAATTTCAAATGTGGTATTAAAATTTGTGAATAGCTAAGACAACAAAACATGTTACAGCATTTAATGTGATTGAATATTACATGGATTCGTGATTAAAATAATTAGACAACAAATTTTAAGAGTTATAAGAATAAAACTATAATTTGTTTTAAAAATCAAACAAATCCACACAAATTGGATCAAGGCCGGTCTTGAGATTTTCAAAATTTTGAGAGGTTTTAGACAAACTTTCAAATGAGAGGCCCTACATAAGATTTCACAAAACTCGGTCTTGGTGCTTTATAAAGAGTATGATCCAGTTTACATCAAAAAATTAAAAGAAATATTAAACACAACTTAGTTATAAAAATCAAAGTTAATTTGAGTTATAAAATTTCAATTAAAGTGCTCAAATCATGTTTTTCCAACATATTTTTTTTAAGAAATATCATAGCAAATCCATTCATTCTCTCTTATGACAACGTTGACCACATGTAAGATTTGATCAACTTCAATTTTGAAAAATTTCCCTTAACAAAAGCAATTGTAATTGGAATAGTTAATAATACGCTATACGCAATCGAAGAATTTTGAAAAATAATAACTTCACCTTTTTATAAAATCAAATACTTCAATTGTCTTTTTTGAATTATAGCTCTGAAAATAATTATATTCCATCAATATCAGTATTACACCCGGGAGTTAAAATTGGACTAGTTTTAACGAAGCCATGCATGCACATGATCCACAAAATAATATAAAATAAAAAATTTGGTTATTTGGACTAGGCTTAACGGAGCCCACCTTGCATGCACATGAATCCAATAATAATATAATAACAAAATAAACCAAACTCTGAGTTAAAATATAGAAAAATATATATTTTTTCTTTTGAAAGTAGGATATAGGAAAAAAATTATTGTTACCATAAAAATTATTGTTTATTACCAATTTTTTTTTAAAAAAATTATTATTGTTGCCATAAATTTACATGATATATAAGTATATATCATCTTTTAATTATGAAAATTATAGCCAGAATGCCAAATATATATTACTGTATTTGTTCTATGATCCTAAATTTGAGAGTTAGAGATCGTAGGCGAATGCCTTTGTTACCTTGCCCCAGGCCTATATATATATATATATATATTTTTTTTTTCCAGATGAGACTTCCATAATGGTAAATAAATTAATAAAGTTGTCATTAGCTGGCTGGGTTTGCATGTCATTTTATTAGAAAATGAAGGGGCAATTCAGTCTTTTAAGTCAAAGCGGAATAAACGTCAAAGGCATATATTCAAAATTTGGCCGGTGAGCAAAAATTGAAAAAAAAATGGGGATTGTAATGACACACATTCAAATGCTTTTATGTGTCTGACTCCGTGTGACTCAAGGGAGAGAGAACAAAAAAGCGGAGCAAAAGCTGCATCGTCTCCACATGCCTTGGATTTTCTTTCGGCAATTCCCCTCATTCTCAGGCATTGAAGATCGTGTAGTTCACAGACAACAATACACACTCTCTCTCTTCTTAAACCTCTGAAAAATTTTAAGATTCGATTTCGCAAATTCCACTTCGCCGTCTTCAGAATCTCGGCCGATGCTTCTATTACCTCTATTTCTGAGTTGTTTGGCTTAATTTTCTAATATATAAAGCTCTTATTGCGATCGTGGTGCAGAAGTAGATACGTCGGAGCTCTGAAGCACTTCGACCATTTTTTCAAGTTCAAAGAGGTCAGTGTTGTTTTCTTGACCATTTTTTTGTGCTGTTGGAGAGATCGGAATCTGGGTTTTCAGATCGTGTTAAATTTAGCAAATTTAAGTGTTTATTGTTGTGTTTTAGGAGGTGAACGGGTTGTAAGTTGAAGGACATTGGCAAGTAGTTTGGAGAGTATATTGAATTTTGATTGATAAGAGAAATATTCGAATAGTTTCATTGGTTTGTTAAGCTCAATATCAGATCGAAAAGAATTATGCTGAACCGTATTGGAGTATTTTGGGTCTGAATTATAGGGCTTGTTGGGAAATTTTGAAAATTTGTAGATAATTTAACCTTTTTTTTTGGTTTCAAAGTGATTTCTGTTAGATTGCAATCACTGCCGGCCATCTAGATTTTTATCATTCAATTAATTGGTTTACTTTTGCTGTTGAAATCATCAATGGTGACGGATCAGGGAAGAGCACTATAGTCTGTATAATAATTATGGTCCCCTCCATAAAGTTTGGCAGATAAGTCGTGGGACCTTTGTGAAGTTTGATTAACTTTGATTAACTCTTTTGGGGAAAAAAGTTAGCTTTTTGATATTCAAGTTCTATCCTGTTGTGTCTGGTGAGACTCATTCAGGAAAGTCTGAGAAAATGTCGCAGAAAACTCAGGTTGCACCTTCACTCCAGTCGATCAAATCTTTGCCTGTCGACTTCAGGTTTATGGGTTCACCTCTCGAGAACTTAGGTGATGTGAATACTAGCAATAATATTGGAAGTATACCTGAAGATGGTGAATCAACCAGTGAGGCTGTTCAGTATGCTGATAATGGCATGGATCAGTGTAATGATGAATCACCCTATGGTAGCTTGACTTTGTCAGCTGAAGAGAGGCCTTCTGTAAGTGATGAAGACTTGAATTCTTCAATTTATCCATCGAGATCAATTGTTCCTTCCCATACTGAATCGAAGTGGAGTGACACCAGCTCTTACGTTGCAAAGAAGGTATATTGTGGCTTCAGTGTTAGTTTCCAACACCTATTCAATAGCTTAAATTTTGTTATTGGCATGGTTACAATTGCTTTATTGTTCTTGTTACAGCATGAATTAACTTTCATAAATGTCTTAGTTAGCTATCAGCTTTTTGAACCAATCTGTACGGAGATCTTTGTTCTTTATACAGCATACACTATCAGCACTATGCAGTTACTCTTTGCAAATGCATCCATACAGTTAAAACAACTGGTCGTTGCTCACTTTATCAAGTTTGGTTTTGGTTGTATCATGCATGTTTCTTGAACCACTCATTTCTTTCAATTTTAGTGCCTATCAGAATGTTCCTCAGCATACTGTTTGGGCGGGCAAGTCTAAGAACATTTTTTTTTTTTTTTCTTTTGGAATATCCAAGCATGTAGCTTGAGTAGTGAAAGATATTGGTAATTCTAATGGGATATGAGGATTTTATGTGTTAACAACCATCTACTGTAAAATCATAAGCTGTTCGAGTGGGTGCAACTTTCATATTTAAATCCTCTAACATGCCTCCTCACGTGTGGGCTTCTTTTGGTCAACAGGCATTTAAATTTTAATTATCATGGTGATGGTGAAGCTTGAATTCAGGATCTTGCCTGCTCAACAACCATCTACTCTAAAGGCTTTATGTTAGAAAGGGTGTAACTTTATTATTTAGACCATTTAAAAGAATATATCCCTGGTCCATGTATTCAATGTTATTTTTCATACTCTTGATATTCACACTTGTTAAATTAGGTTCTTTGGCTTTGAGATATAAAGACTGCTACTCTCTCAGATTATGAGGATGTGACATGACAGGTTACCTTTACGGTTCTGGAATTGTAAAGAGTCTCCTGTCTTTTTAGTGTCTTGTTTTTATGATGTCCAAGCTTCACTTTCCAAGATATTTAGTTTTAGGATTTTGATTAATCTTGCTCCAATATCATGAATGTAACAAGACATTTTTTTTGGGATGTGACATGACAGGTTACCTTTACGTTTCCAATATATTTTTCTCCATTTTTCTCTATCTAGGGCATTATCCTATGTTAATTATGTGGTCATTGTCTATCTCTTTCATACAAAAGATTCGGAAATTCCAATAAAAAGTTATTCGTAGATTTCCGTGTTCCTTCTAGGTATCTGTTTAATCCAATTTTGGTGATGGCACTTAAGTTATTGGCATGAGAACTGAGAAATTCGCAATAGTGTGGATATTTTACACCAGAATATATAAGCTTTATGCAAAAATAGATGGTCAGATTTATTTAATCATTCTGTATTTATTGATTTTATTACCTACTTGTTAAAGTTAAACTGTTTCAGAAGCTCCAATCCTGGTTTCAACTTCCTAATGGTAACTGGGAGCTGGGGAAGATACTGTCGACTTCAGGGACTGAGACTGTGATATCACTGTCTGAGGGAAAAGTAAGCAAACTATCGGAAATTGTGAATTTATATATTTATTATTTAGTTTTTGTGGTGCAATCAAACTATTCATTATGTTTCACTTACCAAAAAGGGTAAAATAGAACTACTCATTTTGTTTTTGTTTTTCAATTTAGGTTTTAAAAGTGAATCCTGAAAGCCTGGTTCCAGCAAATCCTGATATCCTTGATGGTGTAGATGATCTCATGCAACTTAGTTATTTAAATGAACCATCGGTGCTATACAATCTTCAGTATAGATACAACCGAGATCTGATTTATGTATGTGTCTATCTACATGTTGAATTTTATTTCAAATTTGTATCTGATATGTGTTAATTTGTGCTGATATATCTGCGTTTATTTTTTTTTACTTTTAAACCTCAATGTGTATTTTAGACAAAAGCAGGGCCGGTGTTGGTTGCAATTAATCCCTTTAAGAAAGTCCCATTGTATGGCAATGATTACATCGAAGCATATAAGCGCAAATCTATGGAGAGCCCACATGTCTATGCCATCACTGACACAGCTATCCGGGAAATGATACGAGGTGGTTTTGATTTATTTTTATAGCCCTGTAACATTGACTTTTCAACGGCTAAGACCTTGTTTGGCAATCACCATAGTATTTAGAACTCTTACACTGTTTCTGGTTTTTCTTCCAGATGAAGTAAATCAGTCTATCATAATAAGGTCAGTACAGTATTTCTAAGACGAGCCAATATGTTTCCTATTCCGTTTTTATCATTCTTGCTCTCTCATTGTTTGTTTATTTATCAAAATATTTTTAATCTTCTATTTGTCTTCCTATTACTCGATGCTTGCAGTTTGTGATGTCCATTTTAATTGATTTGTATTTTCCATGTTTCTCTGTAGACACAAGAATATTCTTTGTGGCCTATTAGGTATACCTCTGACAATGCATGTCTTTTGGATGGTTAAAGAAGAGGTGCAGATAAAGCTATGAGATTTTCTCTTGAAATGTGTTTTAGTTGTATAAATGTATGCCAACATGTCCAGTTGTAATTTAGATGTTAAACACATAATCTGGCTAATAATGATTTTTCAAAAAGCTCTCAGGGACATCTAGCGTGGATAGTGTAGATTATATGTTGTGGTATGTCAGACTTGCAGACTGATATACATGTTGAATGGTACCTTGCATCAGCTTGTCTGATACGGACTGTTTGTTTGAAACTCAAAAGATACTATGGACAATCAATTAATATCTGCCTGCCTGCTGTTTGAGGAGAAACTCAAAGGTGTTCAGGCCTTCCTGGTGTCTGGATGGACAAAATTCTAGGAAACAAAACGTTTAAGCTTGTTTCATAAAGTTTTTTACCATACTAATTACACGTTTGGAACATGGTTCGAAGATGTGGAATCAGGTGCAAAGGCGGATGCAGATGCGGTGTAATGGGTGTAACATAACAGTATCGGTCAACATGGTCGTGAGTTTTTTCGACCTCGCAACATAAGACCAAAAACACACTGATACACAACTTTCACTACAGAATCCAATACAAATGTATTTTTAATGAATATTAGTGAATTTTGTTGATATATTAAAGATCATTTAAAGTAATGAATTATACATCCTAGCTTGTATGACAATTTGCTTGAGTTATTTTCTCACCATGCCTTACATTAAAATCAAATTGTTGTATCTTCTAAAAAGTTGATTTCTGATTGACTTTACATGTTCTGGTTTGAAAAGCTGTAATATCACTTGGATAATATTCTTATTCTTTACAGAAATCCAATTATATGAATCTTGAAACACATTAAATCAGTCGGGTTATTGAATAAATTCGTGATGAAATAAATCTTTAACACAATGTTTTCTGTAGTTCATGGAATCAGGCTAATATTGTGATCAAATTTCTGAAAGAGTTAAGGATGTATTAAGTCCAGTCCTTGATTGTTGTGACTTGTGACTTACATATGAATGCATGCCTTAGTCATATACTTGTTATCTCTATGTCCAGTGGTGAAAGTGGAGCAGGAAAAACCGAGACGGCAAAAATAGCAATGCAATATCTGGCTGCACTTGGAGGTGGTAGTGGAATAGAATATGAAATATTGAAGACCAATCCGATTTTGGAAGCCTTTGGTAATGCAAAAACATTAAGAAATGACAACTCCAGTCGCTTTGTAAGTTATTTTTTCTTTACATGGACATCTAATATTTTTTTTATCATATATTAATCTATAAAAATAAATATACACGTGTATGAGGAGATTAGATAATTTGCGATAATTGACGTCTAGAAATCAAATTCTTAAGTTGTGGCATTTTTTGCAAATTATGATAAGCTAAGTGAACCTGTCATAGGGAAAGCTGATTGAGATCCACTTCAGTGAAACTGGAAAAATATCAGGTGCCAAGATCCAAACTTGTAAGTTAGCTTTCATCATTGAGGTTCTGCAACACGTGTGTTATGTACTATATACTATTTGTGAATACCTAACGTAAATACTGACCTATGTCATTCAATTTGTTCTTTGCTGCTGCCAACATGGGCTGAACAGTTTTACTAGAAAAGGTATTTCTATATTCATCTGCTCTGCTCTGTGATTGTGATTTATCTGATCCTGTGTCAGATCATTAATTCAGTTTGTTTCGTGAACAGTCTAGAGTGTGCCAGTGTGCAGAAGGAGAAAGGTCATATCATATATTTTATCAGCTTTGTACCGGGGCTCCACCTGCTCTTAGAGGTATCTATTTCCTTGCTGTTCTTTTATTTGTTTTCATGATATTTTTGTTGTATGTCAGGGTAGCAATTTAATATCGTTGGCATTTACATTCCGCGTCAATATTTAAACCATCTTCTTTTTATCTTTTCCTTTTCTATTTCCATTTTTTCTGATTTTCATCGTGCTTTAATGTGTCCATCACTGGTATCTTGACCGTTCAATTACTGAGTGAAGTATTAAAAGGTGTTTTTCTGAATATAAACTCTGAAAATTGTTAGGCCCATTAAGTCTTTGAATTTTTTTTTTATGCTAGCACAGTATATAAGCAAACAAAAAGTTAGCAAGTCCGTTTGTTGAGTTTAGGATTGAATGATAATTGAACTTTGGACATTGCACGGTTCCCAGTTTTATGAATTTGTCTCTTACGCTGTCTTTTTCAAGGTTAATACTTTGCAATGATAAATGCTAAACGAATATTACAAATACTGCATGCAAACAAATAAAACTTTGTGATCCTTGGGGGCAAAAGGTGCACACCAGTAACTACATAGAAAGATCATCCTCTTCTCTCGTCTTCTCAGTTGTCAGTGCAGAAGTATCACCCTCCTTTTGTTTCATAGGTTCTTTTTTTTTTTTTTTTTTTTGTTGTTGTTGTTATAATCGTACAAGTTCACATGATACTTTGAAATCATGTGCAAGTGTTTTTTTTTGTGGAAGTAACAGAAAGATAGTTTCACTTTTGTACTGCATAGTGTTCTGAACTAAAAGATCCTGTTTCTGTGCACATGTCTTGACATAGTCTCTTACTAGAATTAAATTGGAGTGTTATTTTATTAGTTAGTATCTGTCGCGCCCCAAAATTTCATCCCCTTGGTGTCTACGGTATCTTATACCCTTTGCCTAAATATTTTATTCTTTTGCTTTTGTTGCTTTATAACAGAAAAACTTAATTTGAAGAGTGCAAATGAGTACAATTACTTGAGGCAAAGTGATTGCTATTCAATTTCTGGGGTGGATGATGCAGAACGATTTCGCATTGTGACGGTACTTTTTCCTTCTTCTGAACTGAATCTCAACCACTGGCTTTTTAGGCTTCTATTTCCTTGTTTATTAAACTCGTATTTGGGCAATAGGGGTTAGGCACATTAACTTCACTGTGGCTAGTCAGCGCCCAAAAGGAAAATATAAAAAATAAAAAATAAAAAATAAAAGCGAGAGAGAAAACTAAAAAAATTTCCTGCTGCCACTCCCATTTTTCAGGAAGCTCTGGATATTGTGCATGTTAGCAAAGAGGACCAAGAGAGTGTATTTGCAATGCTCGCAGCAGTCTTGGAGCTGGGGAATGTCTCCTTTACAGTGATTGATAATGAAAACCATGTTGAGCCTGTCCCATATGAAGGTAACACTCTTCCCTAGACACCAACATTTTCATGATTTATTTTTTTTCTTCCTGTATTGTTGGTTGGTTCACGTGCAATACATCAAACCAAAGTGCTTTGGTTTAATAAATCATGTTGCAGATGCATTAAGCAATGTCTGATCCCTAAATTTCAACTGAAATCTGTTGAATTTGGAGTTGAAATTAATAAAATAATTCTTAACGTTATTATATAGTTCTCCAGTATGGCCACCTAAATCAATTAGGTCAAGTCGATGCCACTGAAGAAATTTTATAATCAGCTCTGTATCATTTTATATCAGATTATCAGGTGGTGAGCAATCTAAGTGCCTGTCAAATTTGTCCGGAGAAAGGTGTTCTGATGTGGTTCTTTTTCTGAATGGTTTTTTTTTGCTGGAAACAATTTCAGAAGTTGATAATCCTATTGCAAAAGAATTTGTATTCCTATTATGTATTATGAGTTTTGTTATCAGACTCAGTGATTACTTGCTCTGACAAATTTCTTGAAGAAAAATTGAGGATGTTTGAAGTGGTTGGGTATAGGCTTGGTTTCCGCAGCATCTATCTCTTTGCATAGGTTTTATTGAAGGAACATAATTTTTCTATGTTTATCAATTAGTTGCTATGTTCGGATTCCTTCTTCCCCCCAGTAAACCATTAAAGTACATCTCTCTGCATATGTTTTATTGATTAATCTAATGCAAAACAGTCGTAAAAAAAAAAAAAAAAAAAAAAAACCACAATATATTTAATACTAAATGCATATGTAATCCTTTTTCTTTTTTGCTAAGTATGATAAATTTATAAAAGGAGAAATGAATGTGTAATCCTATTGCTTCTTCTCTCTGAAGGTTGGTTATTCAATTTTCAGGTCTAATCAATGTGGCTAAATTGATTGGGTGCAATGTTGGGGAGCTTAAGCTGGCTTTATCAACTCGAAACATGAGAGTTGGAAATGACAATATTGTCCAAAAGTTAACTCTATCTCAGGTAAGAAGAATTTTTCAGGAAAATTTACATCTAGTGGACATTGGTCAAATAGGCTGGTGGCATTGGTGTATTGGTTGACGAGATGCATTTAGTTGGTTTATTCATGTCATGAAATGCTCTTCAGTCATTTCTTTAAGCATGCAACCCAAGCACCCAACCTGTTCTTCAAGCCGATCTTCCCTACGCATGCTCAATCCATGTTCAATTTTTTGAACTTGGTTTGAGCTTCTTAGTCAAATTGGTTGAGATCTGGTTGATCTGATGTAACCTCAGGTTGAGCTACTCCTATGCGTAATTTTTTTTTTTTTTTTAAATGTGTAAATATATAAAAATAAATAAAATTATATACAATTCTCAAGAAATTAATACTTCAAATATTAATCTACAATAAATCAAGATTTAAAGAAAAAAACTGGTTGATGACAATTATAAACATCTATTTAAAATTATAAATATATAGAAAACGGGGTTAAACTTGGGTTCAGGTCGCCGACAAAACGGGCTGGGTTTCGGTAGGGTTCATTTTGGTCTGTCCAAGTTTTTTTTTTTTTTTTTTTTTCATAATTCTGTCCAAGTTTCCCCATACTCATTTTTCTAATGGTGTAAAGGACTTGTCTTCAAATCCAAATGACTAGGTATGGATATGAGTTGTGTCTTGGCATACTTGCTGCCAGCTCTATTAGTTTTCTTTCTTCTTCCTTTTTTTTTTTTTTTCTTAAATGAAGAACGGACCTATGAAATCAAATAGATTTTTATTTTATTATTTATTGAAGAGATGGACACATGAATCGAGTGGACTAAATCAAACTTACTAAAAGTAGACCTCCAAGGTTCAATCTTGTGACATATATGGTAGATCCTGTTGGTTCAGCAGTGGGGCCCACAACTTTTCTGTACTATACTTTTATGCGAGACTGATTGCCATCACTTAACACCTACAGGCTACAGGCATGCACATGATTGTGGAACTTTATGAGATTATAGGTTTACTTTCCATAGTGTTCGATATACTAAAAATTCAGTGGAATGCCCTCGAGGTTATCAGCTTTCGGTAACATGGAAATTTTTTTTTATGTATATTATATTTTTAAAATTTTATTCTATATGATGATCATTGGATTCTGCTTTCCATCTTTCAGGCGATTGATGCAAGAGATGCTTTGGCAAAATCAATTTATTCTTGTCTGTTTGACTGGCTAGTTGAACAAATCAACAACTCACTTTCAGTAGGCAAACGTCGTACTGGAAGATCCATCAGCATTCTTGACATCTATGGCTTTGAATCATTTGATGTATGTTCTTGTGCTTTAACTCTTCTGTATTTATGTGTATCTTTTTACTTTATGAATAATCAATAATCCTTAGTGATAATTTTTCTTCTCAGAGGAATAGTTTGGAGCAATTTTGCATCAATTATGCAAACGAGAGGTTGCAGCAACACTTTAATCGTCACTTATTCAAGTTAGAGCAGGAGGTAACTGTCCCATTTATTTCTCAGAGATGACCTGCAAAAGTAAAAGAAAAATGAAACTTGAATAGGAGATTAATCATATATTCTGATAAGAAAAGGATATCGTATTTTTTCCACATAGAAGGGAGCAATCATCCCTGCCCTCCTTCAGCTCGACTTTTCCTATTTTTAATTTCTGATGATGGATCTGTCGGTGATCTAGAATACTATATGGCTCACCAACCCATGCTAGATTGTTGTGGTTCAGTCTCAACTTTCCAACCTTCCAAATAAGAACGACCTTAGTTTAGACATGCATTTCATGGATGATTTTGGTGTGTAGGCATAACCCAATCTTATTATAATTTAATTGAGAAATGAATTATATTTTTCAGGAATACATCCAAGATGGCATTGACTGGGCAAAAGTTGATTTTGAAGACAACCAAGATTGCCTAAATCTTTTTGAGAAGGTATAGGTCTCGCCGATGCATTAGCTTCAATTAACCAATTGATTGCATTCCATCTAAATGTGTCTTATGGTTATCTAAATGTGTAGTCTGCATAGTGATCAGTAATCGTATTTTTGTTACTGGTAGGGATAGTAGCCATTATTTGTCCATGATAGTATTCATAATGATGTGGTACTATGTCCTTCAAAATTTTTGGACAACCATATCAAGAACATTGTAATGATATTTTCGTAGTTGCGTGGTAGCATTTGAAAGTTTGTACCAGCGGTTCACGTTTTATTTTGTAGCATGCCAAAGAGTTTCTATATACGCATAGGATTGAATAAACTTTGCTAGTTTTTATACGATACAAATGGGTTTCTTTTCTCTCTTTCGCTTTATCATGTGGTTTTGTTATGAAGAACTGCAGGTGGAGTGAATGAATGGTACAAATAGTGAAACAGAGGTTTTAATGCTTTTTTCTTGAAAACATAGCCTACTGCTATTAATGGTTTACTAATTAAATAATATATGTTGTATGTATGTCTGAACCTTTTTCCTTGTATTTCATGCAGAAACCGTTGGGATTATTGTCTCTGTTAGATGAGGAGTCCACCTTCCCAAATGGCACTGACTTGACATTTGCCAACAAGCTTAAGCAGCATCTGAGTTCTAATTCTTGTTTCAAAGGAGAACTAGGGAAAGGTTTTTCTGTCTGCCATTATGCTGGAGAGGTAAGCAAATCCTTAATCACCTTTTGCCCTTGTTACATCACAGAGTGTCTGACAAGTATGTTGTGAAAAGTAATAATATGGCATAATAGCTGAAGGTGCACAATTGCAATTTTTTTCCTGCTGCTGCTGCTGTCTGATATTTGGTAGGTCCACTTGCTCCTCTCAGGTTCAGTACAACACAACTGGGTTTCTGGAGAAGAATCGGGATTTGTTACACTTGGACTCCATTCAACTTCTGTCTTCTTGCATGTACCACCTTCCACAGATTTTCGCATCCAATATGCTTACACAATCTGAGAAACCTGTTGTTGGTGCTTTATATAAATCTGGCGGTGCAGATTCCCAGAAGCTGAGTGTTGTGACAAAATTTAAGGTACATTCACTTTCCCGATTTTGGTAGTTCTTAAAGATGACCATCAAAACTTGCATGGTTCATAATTATGCTGACAAGATTGACATGAATATCATAAGAGAGATGTTTAGGGACACTAGGTATTTTTTTCCTCCTTTTCTATGCTTTATGTGCTAATGGTTTTTAAATTATTATTTTTTTAAACCAAAGTATAAAAAGTCAGGTAATTAAAAATGATTGAACATTATCTAAAATTGTTCCTCATATATGCTGAGTAGGCTACTTATATGGATTGACAATGCTTCATGGGAGAAACCCCTCTGTGACTGTGAAATTAACTTCGTGAAAGGTTTAGAAAGAGAAACAATGTGATCTATTGAAGAACCAAAAATTTAAAAGGATATACATATGGAAATCAGATTGTGATTTCCTAAATTGATATTTTCAATAGCTATGGCTGAGTTTCTCTGCTTCAGCAATGAGGAATCAATGTTGCTATGGCTGAAAATTTCGCTTCAATTCAGGTTGAAGAAGTGCTTAGAAGAGGTAAATGTGTAACTCTATGAACTAAGGCATTAAGCATTGGCATACAAGTATATAAATTTCTCAGGTTGAACTCCATTCTCTATAATTTTGGAACTGTTTTAAGAAGTTTAAAATCCTTGTAATGCCACTTGTGGTAATCTATTATGAACTGAATTCGATGGCTGATCCAGGTTCTTTAAAAATGGTCTTATTCACGATCTATTCTAGATCTCCTTTCTAGAATTTTAAACATAGTTCTTGTTTTCATGCATAAAATAGTTGAAGGTTATTCAGGAAAAAAAAAAATAGTTGAAGGTTGTTTGTGACATAGCCTTGAAAGGAAGGATGGCCAAATATATTTTCTGTATGTATATCAAACAAATGTTGCTTTTTAGTGGTGGCAGACTTGTGTTTTTCTTTACACTTGGATTTGTGATTGGTGCAATTGATGGGAGCATGGCATCTTGAGTGTATCTGAACCTCATAGTCTGTAGATTTGAGAAAAATGACGTTGAAGAGAATGTTCTTTCCGGATCAGAGTTAACTTCTCCATCTGATATATTGCATTTCTTTGTGTTTAGAGCCAATTATTCCAACTAATGCAACGTTTAGAGGCTACTACACCACATTTCATACGTTGCATCAAGCCCAACAAGTTCCAGTCTCCTGGAATATATGAGCAAGGACTTGTATTACAGCAACTAAGATGTTGTGGGGTCCTAGAAGTAGTTCGAATATCGAGATGTGGCTTTCCTACTAGGATGTCACATCAGAAGTTTGCAAGAAGGTAAAGAAATATATCATTATTTTTTCTTACTTGTTCTAATTGTTGTGGTGCGTATGATAAGGTTGCAAATACCTTTTAAGCATCTCTTTTTTTAAAGTTTTTTTTTTTTTTTTGGACATGTTATTACTTTTAAAGCATCTTGTTTTTTGACTTTCTTTTATCCTTGTCTCCTTATAATGTGGTCCTGCATCAGGTATGGTTTTCTTCTATTGGACCACGTTGCATCACGAGATCCACTCAGTGCTTCAGTTGCAATTCTTCATCAGTTCAATATTCTGCCAGAAATGTATCAAGTCGGTTACACAAAATTATTTTTCCGAACTGGACAGGCAAGATGAATATGTGTGATTGATTTCATATCCTTTTTGGCCCTTTTCCTTTTTGTCTCCTTTTCTTTTTATTTTTTATTTGCTTTATCATGCTAAAAGTCAAAACTATGGTGCATGCATATCAAGGTATGTGTTGACTAGGAGAAAATGATTATTATTGACCTCCGAGACTCAGAATTTAATTTGCTGCCCACCTGCAGGTCTAAGGTCTTATCCCTTGAGAATACATTTAATTTTCCAGATGGAAAGGAATAGTAGAACTTTTACATCTAGTTGGAAATGTTATTAGTGGCTCTATTGAAATGAGATAAGTTATTTATCAAAAAAAAAAAAAAATTGAAATGAGATAAGTAAGTTAAAGAAAGAAAATTGAGATTAATCTCATGTTAGATTTATTTATTTTTAAAAAAATAAAAAAATTCTTTTCCCAATACACATATATTTAGGACATTAGCTTGTGTAAGAACAATTAGGTTCCATTTGGATGGAAGGAGTTCGAATGAAGGGGTATATAAACAAACATTTAAATGAATATAACATATATGTAGAGTGAATGATTTGATTTAGGTTTAAGCTTTAACAATGATTTGAGAAACTTACATGTATTGATTTCAGAAAACTTGGTGGAAGGAGTTATTTGAAATCCATGTTGGTAATTATTTCTGCTGCTCGATGATGGCAATAAAATGTGTCTCATAATCTCATATCCCCTTGAGACTCGAATCCAACTCAATAACAAATTTTGTCTAAACTCAAATCTGTTAATTTTAAATCCATTCATTGTGTGGAGCAGATGGTATCTGGTTCTGTTAAGTATTTGTCTTCTTTGTTTTCTATATTATACATACCTATTTGCTGATGTGCTCTTGGAACTTGTACTCAATAGTAGTCCCTTACAAGTGTTTTCATGAATTATTGAATCTCTTACACCGGAGCTAGAAACGGTTTATCATGTTTTTCTAATCTTTGATGTGAGTATTATACAAATAAAATAGAGGGCAGCCTTACATCTAAATGTGGCAGAGGTAGTGATAAAACAGGGTTGCATTACACATTTACAGGGGCAGCAAAAATAACCCCCACAAATAGTAGTTCTTAATGGTTAACATTACGACTGGATGAATTGTTTATAATTTTTTACACCTTCTGCTGGATGTTTGATGTGTTTTATTAATGACAAATCTTTGTCTGTCAATGACAATCTATTTAGATCGGGGTGCTCGAGGATACAAGAAACCATACCCTCCTTGGTATCTTACGTGTTCAAAGCTGCTTTAGAGGTCATCAAGCTCGTCGTTACCTCAAGGAGTTTAGGAGAGGAATTGCAACCCTTCAGTCATGTATATCTGTTTTTCACCTTGTGTATTGAAGTTTCTCAATTGCTTTTCAGTGGAAACCATAATCTGTCCGAAAGGTCTTTGAGGATTGATGTTTCTAAATTTTTTCTTGCAGTTGTTCGAGGTGAGAGACACAGGAAGGAATATGCAGTCTTACTACAGAGACATAGAGCAGCTACAGTTATACAAAAGCATTTGAAAGGCAGGATTGGAAGGAAGAAGTTCACAAATGTTTATCATGCATCAATTCTGATACAATCGGGTAAACTGTGAAATGAATAACTGGGTTGGGTTGGGACAATCAGTCTGGAATGCTAACTAAAATTCCTTTAATCTGGAAAGGCTCCGGACTGACATTGCAAGCTTTAGTGTTTACCAGTATTACATTAATTGTATGTTGTTCATCATAATGATCAAGCTTTTTCACAGTCATTCGGGGCTGGTCAATCAGAAGATGCTCAGGAGACATAGGATTACTCCAATGCGGTGGGAGAAAGGTACTTGTTAGTTCTGCTAGTGGCTTTAAGTCACTGTGTGATGATTGATTTTTTGAAGTTTGTGCTCGTTTATAACAAACTCTAGTGGCAAATCAAATTAATTTCCTTTAATCCGGGCAGGTTCCAGACTAACATTTGTGCTCGTTTATAAATTAATTTTCTATGAAGCATGGAGCATGTTCCTTATATCTCTTCAGTAAGCTAAGGAAGAATATATCTATGCTCCTTTCTTTTTCAAATTTTTGGGTGGTATTATTCTTATTGAAACAAAGATCCAGCACATGATATTCCTAAATCTGATAAGACTCGGCCCTTATGTGACATGTTAGACAAGTTTGTGATGGGGAGACTTTAAGTACCTGCAAATATTTTGTTAGACAAGACTAACAAAATCACTTGGTACAGTTGTCCTTCTCAATTGTCACACAAGTATCCTTTTTACGGTGGTCTCTGTAACTTTTTATGATATCTTGAGCCAGATCATTATGGTCCTCTCTCTCATAATTTTTAGTGGAGTGTTAGAAGAACTTACAAGTATGGCATACATTTGAGTGGAAGATATAGGAAAAGCCTGATCAACTGATCGCACCGAGTTACATGGAAAGCCAGCTCTGAGAACTGAGTAGTCTATGTTCATTGTTTGAGTGTGATTTGCACCATTTTCATGGTCAACTGAGCTCTTAGCATGATGTGTTCATATTTTATTGATAGGTTTTCTTGTCCTATTGAAATTTACCTGTGTGTTCAACTGACAGTTATATGTAGTGATTAACAATCTCTCTGTTGTGCATGCAATTCCCCTTGCCTTTTTCATACATGGTAAAAATGATTGTTCTTAAACAGGGTAATGAGTCGGATGAGGTGTTGGTGAAGTCATCTTTCCTTGCTGAGCTACAACGGCGAGTTCTTAAGGCCGAGGCTGCTCTAAGAGAGAAAGAAGAGGAGAATGACATCCTCCACCAGAGGCTCCAGCAGTATGAGAGCCGTTGGTCTGAGTATGAGCTGAAAATGAAGTCCATGGAAGAAGTGTGGCAGAAACAAATGAGATCACTACAATCAAGCCTATCCATTGCAAAGAAGAGCCTAGCTGTTGATGATTCTGCAAGGAATTCTGATGCATCAGTCAGTATAAACGATGACAGAGACTACAGCTGGGAAACGGGTAGTAATTTCAAAGGTCAAGACAGCAATGGGGTGAGACCAATGAGTGCAGGTCTGAGTGTTATAAGCCGATTGGCTGAAGAATTCGAGCAGAGGAGTCAAGTATTTGGTGATGATGCGAAATTCCTGGTGGAGGTAAAGTCAGGTCAGGTCGAGGCGAGTTTGAACCCAGATCGTGAGCTTAGAAGGTTAAAACAGATGTTTGAAGCTTGGAAGAAGGATTACGGAGTAAGACTGCGAGAAACAAAGGTAATCTTGAATAAGCTTGGAAATGAAGAAGGGGCCGCTGACCGGGTGAAAAAGAAGTGGTGGGGGAGGAGGAACAGCTCAAGGATAAATTAGATTTTACGATTTTCCCGTGGCTTGTCTTTGAGCCTTATTTTTTGTTTTGGTTTTTTGAAGTTTGAAAATTGTTGAAAAACACTAGAGTTCTGTCCTTAGGAACAAGTTGGTGCATTGCAGAGCGTCATAATTCAAATATGTATATCAATTTTATATACAATTGCGAGTTCTATGTTGGTGAGAGATGCTATCAGTTATATATATATATATATATATATATACATATATATTTTGATCCTTTGTGCAGAGCAATATTCGCACAGAAGGGTATAGTTTGTCACATGTAATTTGCGGTGTGTTTGATTCCGTTGATGGGATCACTTTTATTCCTGGAAATAAAATGCATGAGCTGTCCCAGTTTACGTGCTTCATTTTATTTTGGCAAAATGCCAAAACATGAAACTCTGTACTACCAATTTTTGGTAACTCATCCCTTAACTAATTTGGCAATAAACCATCCTGACCTTAACCAAAATTCTGCAATCCTTTTTGTAGTTTTGAGTTATAAAATTTCTATTTTAACCTGTTTTAAAAAAAATAATAATAATTTGGATCAATTTACTATTCATATATATATATATATATTGACAGAAATATAAAATTGGATTGGGGTTGTTCTCCGGCGGAGAGGCTACGCCTCTCCTCTGTCGGATCACCTTCCAGTTGAGAAATTCCGTAACACAGAGCACTTTCCAGACAACGATAATGCTGGCAATGTTGAGATTGATGGTGATGTTAGAGAGAGTTTGGGGGCTAGAGATCAATTGACAAGAGAGACAATCCATAACCACTCTTTCCTTAGTTTCATGTTTGGTAAGACACCTCTGAGGCAAAGAAGCAAGGACGACCTGGAGCCCTTATTTTGCCAAGTCTTCGACCTCATCCTTCCTTTTCGATTTTTTTTTTATTTTTTTTTGTCTATTTTCCTCTGTTAATTTTTTTAGTTAATTTTTTTTTACTAAAAATAAAATGTAATTTAAAAAAATAATATAAATTCATTTTATTCCAACTTTCTTACCAAACCCATGAATGTGAATGAACATTCCATTTTTACACACAGTGTAACCAAATGATAGAAGAAGAATCATTATTCCATTTCCACCTCCATTCCAATTCATTCCACCATACCAAATTAGCCCTTAAAGAAACTTTTTTTTAGGTGGGAGGACCCCATTCGAAGTGGGAGGACCCAATTTGATTTTTACACGTGCAACAGTAACCATGTTGAAATAAGTCAGCCGAATGTAGTAGAGGTAACCATTAGTTGTTTCAACACTAAATAATCAACAGTAACAAATGCAGTAGAGGTAGCCATTAGTTGTTAAACACAAAAGAATCAACAGTAAAAAATGCTCAGCTTGCAGAAACCCAAATTTCTTCCCCACTAGCATCCTTCGACTTGACCAATTTTTTTTGTTTAAAAACGAAGGCTGGCCTCGACCAATCTTTAGCAACTAGATTCTTAACAACCTCCTTATCACAAAAAGCTCCTCTTAATACACAGGAGCAACAGTAATCAGCTGCTAAGTTGCCCTCCCTGTGGACGTGACGGATAGACCAAATTGTAGTGTGTTTTTTCAATTCCTCGCGCAGATTACTGTTCCACAACAAAAACACAATGAGTCTTCATTATCATAAAGTTGAACAAATTCCTAATAAAAAATTAAAACCTTTTAAAAATAAGTAAATACATGTAATCAAGCTTGTCGCCATCACTCAATTCAAAAACAATGCCTTCATTATCAGAAAGAAGATCCAGTTTCTGTAATTTCTTCTCCTTGGTGGATATTGCTATAGCTTTTTGGAGGGCAGCAAATTCAGCTTCGAGAGATGTCTTTATCACAGTATCAATAGGCTGGCTGATGAAATCAATCAACTCTCCTTCACAGTTCACAAAAACAATTCCGATGCTTCCTGTATTGTTGGAGGGATTGAAAGACCCATCAAACATCACTCTTGTAAAACCCTTGCCTAAGGTAGGCACTTCCGCGCATTTAATACTCTCCTTTAACAAAGAATGTTGGACGTCTATTACAAACACCCAATCAGCTGTCAACAAATACTCAATGACAAGGGCTTGACGTGGACTAGATGCAGCTTTTTGACTCCACAGCATATAATCCAATTTAGATATGTATGTAGACCTATACGGTAACTTGTTCTTTGCTGAGATTACTGGGAAAAAGGAATTGTAACGCAAAAGAAGTTCTTTGTGTTCATCAAAGTTGGAATAGGACAAGATCTGTAACATTTTACTAATTAGAAAGGGGGGGGGGGAAAAAAAAGAGGAGAAATCCAAGACAGAAAATTAAGAAATTTGATATGACCTTATCCGATAGAGTTTCACCAGTTGAATACAAACGTCGGAAAACATGACAACCATAGATGGAAGGATGTCCCCTTCTTCCCTAAAAAATATATATTTTTAAGTTTAAGGTAAACGTTTTAAGAAACCATCAATGACAATGACACTTTCTTAAAGTAAGAAGATACCCAGAAGAGTGGGTGAGCACTGCCAGCATATAGCACATCTTGCATCTGCACAGTATAATTAATAATCAACAAAAAGAAAAGAAAAAAAGCCACCAGCTCTGCTGAGGGCAGTTGCACACAAGTGACAGACAACTATATGCTGAGAAACAAAGGCAGTTGCACACAATAGGTGACATACCTTTGTAAACAAATTTGCCCTAAAACAACCTTCAGCTTCACATTCAGATATTGCATTTTCCTGCAAAACAATGCAGTTAATAATCAACACTAAAGAAAACTTTAAAACATATTATTAACAAAACTTTGTAACATATTATTAACAAAACTTTAAAACATATTATTAACATCCAAAGCCACAGTTAAATTTTGTAATGTCCCGGATTTTTCTAGATTTTTCGGTAATTTTATTCTATTTATTTTCCCTACTTCATTTTGTAATTATCCTTTAAACTAGAACTATAGCCATAGTGCTGAGACCTAAGTGAACCAGAACCTCTGTCTATTCCAGGCGAGTGGGAACCTTATCGGGCTATGCTACAACTACAGAAACAGACTCCGTCTCAGAGGGGTAATTTTATCATCCTTAAGGCTTCTCCTTCGTTCTAGTACCTCATCTTTCTTCTGCTGTAAGGGGTTCAGGCGAGGTCCTGGAGACACGTACCTATGTCACAACAGGTGAAAGACTTTCAGTGGTATCTACTAAAAAGAGAAAGCACTTTCTCTCATTTAGAAGAAGACATCAGATAGAGTCATTTCCAAGAAGCTTGGCTGACTCACTAACATGGGGAAGAAAGAGGGCTTAGAAAGATAGGACTACTTAAGACAATGGGAACAGTGAAGCAAAGCGTTATAGTCCTCCATTGAGTCGTCCCTCTGATGTTTTCCAGCCTTTTATGAGGCCCAAGAGTGAAAGCTTTTGAGAGGACTATGCTTTTACAGGTTTTTTAACCCTTTCTACGTCCACAAAATTGCTATCTTCTCCTGGGATCGCTACTCCTTAGCGAACGTTGCCTGTGAGTCCGAACGACTCCAAGCGCAGATGTTCCAACCCAAAGCAGCCTCTCAACCCAGTCAATAGGAACTAAAAGCAAAGAGGATCCCCTGTTGGCTTGGATTGAATGCTATTACAAGGGCACCCACCATCACAAGTGACATCTGGAGCCGGGGCACTGTAGCTGGTCATTCTGTTTACTAGGCAATGGGAACAGAAATGGAACAACCAACTTAATACACTGACTTTTATGTCCTCTATTTCACTATTTCCTTGTTAGTGGAGTATCTCATTAACCTAGCCCTCCAGCCGGCACTATGAAAGTCTGTTTTTGGTTCATCGTGCAGGGATGAGCGATCTGCAGCTCTGTCTTGGCAAATTGACTCGGTTGTTCTCTTACACATCTGCAGAAAAGAGCTCTCTCTAGCTGATGCCCAAAAAGAGCGGGGACCTAAAGTGCGTTCTTGCTCTGTGCCTTTGCCCGTCTCCACCAAGTGACAACGTAATGAGCTTATAAGGTCCACAAGCTGCTTGTTTCTTCTCAAAAGAAATACCGAAAGGATTCACATCAACGGGCGTCAAGAACGAAGGAAGAACCTGTGGTAAAAGAAAGATTTGCACATCCTGCATGAGTGGTGGATGCAGAAGAGGATGGCTATGACATAAGACAAAGGATGACGGTTGGAGTTGAGAATCTTGTCTTAGAAAGCGAAGCGCCCCGTTATCTAGTTCCCACATTCGAGCTTACCTGAGCCTTGAGGAGTTTTGCCGTGAAGGAGCTGAGGTACTATAAAAAAGGTACTATAAAGAAATATGTCACACGGATGACGGAAGGAAATCAAACATCTGAAACCAAAGATTGGAGCATAGATGGCACCCTTAGAAAGCAGTAGAACGCTATTGAAAGGGCACGAGAATTGCCATAGAATCGAATTTATGAATCTGCCTGCGGAAAAAGGTCAGCTAGATCCGCTTCTTCAACAAGAAGAAAGCAGCCATCCTCAAGCATTGTTCCATAGAAGTCGGAAAGTCAAGGTTTAGATGCACTTTTACCCCTTCGTACGCCTGGTTAACCAGGTTCTACCGCTCAAACTCGTCATCAGTCACCATTATGAAAAAAATATATAATCCGAATTTATCATTTTTTAATTTCCTTTGTAGAATAAGTCATTTGATTGTATATGCCACAGAGAGTTCGCAACCTCTCTCTCTCTCTTATCTCTTTTAGGTTACCAAAATGTCTAATTTTGTTGTGGATGTATCCTCTTCTAGTAGTAGGCCCTGTTTTACTAGTTTGGCATTTAAACATGAGCTTGGGTTTGTTGCCTTTATTTGATTTAGCACTCGTGAACTCTTTTGTAACTTAGAGAATAAATATATGGTGTTTTATCCCTCTTCCTCCTTTCAACAATATTCATCATTTATAGATTATTTATTATAGCTTAATATCCCCTCCTTTTTAAGTTGCTATTCATGTTTGATGTAATTTCTGCCTTAAAAGAGATAATTTTAAAGTTTTTTTTTTTTTTTAACTAAAACTAAAATAGAGATAGAGTATGTAATGCTGAAATTACTCTGCTTAACCAAATCGATGATGATTCTAGTAGTCCTATTTGGAGGCTATTATAATTTTATATGACCTTTCGATAAAACTATCAGTTAATTTCTTTGATTTTTTCTTCCTCACAACCCCCAACCA